ATATCCAAGCACATAGAATTGCTAACCTTGCAGTAAAGTTAACCCTTAACCTGCCATGTCATGTAGCCAGGTCTGGTGTGTGGGACCAGTCCCATAAGACCACAAGTACATGGAGTATGGCCCCCACACAGCTCATGCTGCTGTATTCTGTCATGGGAGCTGTTTGTTCCATATTTCTGACTGTCTCTCCAGCCCAACAACCTGTTCCTAATATGAATTATTCCTTTAGCTAATAATGTACAAGACCCTCAGAGGCCTCTTACCAAATCTGGATTTTTGTTTTCATGTCTTCCCTCAGAGCAGTGTGAGAAAGGAACAAGGTGGAGACTTAGTTCCACCTCCTCATAAGGGGTCGATGACAAATTATAAGAGTGACAGCAGCCTCAGTTAGGCCTAGCATCTTTCCTAAGCCCACAGAGGGACCATTTTGTCTAACTAGCTGTGAGCTAAGAAACAGTCAGGATGGGGCCTGGCGCTTAGAGCACAGATGCAATGTGTGCATTGCTGCACATGCACCAGCAAGCAGAGGCGACGACAGCTCATGTAAATCAGCACTAAGGCCAGGCTTCTTCAGTGGATCCAAAGCTGTAACTAGAAAGGGCAACAATAAACAGAAGCTCCAGGTGTTCCACAGAAGAACAGACAATGGTGAAGTGTTGTTAAGAGTGGCACCTAAAGCCCCTGGAGAATTTACTCGGAAAAGGAAGAATAGGTCTCTACCAGCTCCCCAACACACACACACACACACACACACACACACACACACACACACACACACACACACACAAATGTAATGATGTTAGTATGTGTGTTAGTATGGGAGTGTCATTAGTACCAGAAGATGGTGTTTGCTCCTCCTCACTTACTCCCACCTTGGGCCTTGGGTCAGACTTTGAGGCTGTAACAAAAGACCTGTGACCTACCTTATACCTAGATTAGTCTGGATACAAGCGATCTATCCCAAAATAATTTGGGAGAAATAATCACACCAAGGAAAAAAAAAAAAAAAAAAAAACCTGGTTCATTCCAGGGGCCCGAGTCCTCATTTCCTCGTTTCTGAGTTCTCTTCTCAAGGCAGTTGGCCCTCTCTACTCATCCACCTGGCCTCACTGCTTGCTTTCAACCTGAGGCATCTGAGCCAGTATTTCTTCTCTGTTTTTCTACAAGCCAGGCAAATATGTTGACCTTTTCTCCCCACACCTCAAAAAGAAAAAAAAATCCTATTTTGGAAGAGCCGAGCATCATTTTCCAACTGATTTCTTTTACATAAGTTCATTGGATGTTTGTGTGTCTTACAGTTTGTAGACAGAATCATGTAGTCATTAGACTGCATCCTGGAAGCTTTAGTTTGATGCGAATTGCCATTATATCGTCTCTTCATTTTGCTTTTCCTACAAGCTCTCTGGTGTGCTGACTTTACGTGAACTGAGGAAACTGCTTAGCATTGGGGGTACAGTTTCCTCTCCCAGCCTGCAGTGCCACCATGGATCTCCACCAAGGTTTATGGAAGCCCAGTGGAGTTTATGTCCCAGACACACTGGAAGAATGGTTGGAATGACCCCAGAGGGAGCCTCGTGGCAGATGAAGGATGTTATTGCAACAAATACCTGAGATAATCAATTTAGGAAGAGCCAAAGTTGATTTGGGGCTCACACATTTGGAGTTTCCAGAACATAACCAATTAGCCTCTTTGCCTTTGGGCCTGGGGAAAGGAGCCAAATCCTGCTAGTGATTGCATGGTAGAACAAAGGCAATTCCTGAATGCCAGAAACTAACAGAGAAAGAAAGGGGGCTGTGGTATCATAATCTTCTAGGACTTAAATCTCATGGTATACCCTACCTTGTGACACTTCTAGCATCTCCTAAATGGGGACTTGGCCTTCAACGAGGCTTGTTTTGCAACACATGCAGCAGTAGGTGGGACATAGTCATTGCTAATGTATTTTCAATCCACCACTGCCTGTGCTCAGAAACCTTGCAATTAGCATTCAATCCTCATCTCTACTTTCCAGTAAACGAACGAGAACTTTGACAATTTAACAGGGGACAAATTATAGGGTGGGGAGAGAGTTAGGAAGTTGACATGGCTCATTTCAGACCCTGCTTATAAGTCAGAGGCTATCCTAGACTCAGGGAGCTGAGGGAGAACAAAGGTGTTGAAAAGTGTGTTTGATTCAATGCCACTTTGGATGGCCAAAAATCTGAGAGCACTAAATGGGGAACCCAGCATCCATCAGCCTGTCTTGTCTTGAAGCACTAACTGGGGAAGGGTTGGCAGTCAATGTTCTTACCTCAATGAGAAAGAAATCCCTTTGAAGGCAGTGAGAACTGGGGCAGGCAGCAGGTCTCCACATAAGTGTGGGCTGCAAACCCATCTGGGACCAAAGAAATGGCAGGCTCCAGATGTGCACAAGGTCTACTTTCTCCTGGAAAAAGAAACATCTAAGCGTATTACTTATCCTCTGCTATGCAGCTCACCTCTCCCCTAAAAGCAACAAACCCACCAAGCATTTTCTGCTACGCTACACTGGAGGGCAAAAGTAGAAGCTGCCGGCCTGATAAATGTCCAGGCTTAAATATGGTTTCTATAGAGAATCTTCTTGCTCCTTTCCTCTAGGGGGATCCTTATCTAGACTTGAAAAGAATTCCATTTGATTAAACCATGGTTGAAGCAAGATAAATTTACAGCAGGCAACATAGTTTTCTATCAACACAAAATCAGCATTGAAAGAGTGTCTGGCTATGTTGTAAATCCATTAGAATAAGTTAATGGCTCCACTAATGTGCTCAAAATAATACATGCTTGTCATAAATGTAATTAAATAATTCAGTGGAAAATTAAATGTTGAAACAATTACACATATGGCTTAAAGCATTATGAAAATATTATGGAAAAGAAAAATGGGAGCTGTATTAATAGTGCATGGGGATTTTCATGTCATTTGTTTTTATTCCCATTCTTTCCTAATAAAAGGAAAGATAAACACTACTTATGTAGTGCCTTATATGGGACAGTAAATATTTTCACATATATCATTCCATTTGGTTATCATAACAACTTTGTGAGTTCATTTTACCAATAAGGTGGCAGTAGCTAAAGCTTGAAGATGCTGGATAAATTGCCCAAGACCACTGAGTGGGCGTTCCAGTTAAGACCTGGCCAGCTCCACAATCCCATGCTTTTTCATCTTCTCTCTCTCCTCTCTCTCTCTCCCTCTCTCTCTCTCTCTCTCTCTCTCTCTCTCTCTCTCTCTCTGCCTCTTACCTCCTTCCTGTGTTCCTCAATGCTTCTCTGTAGAAGCTATGGCTGCAGCATTACTTCCTTGAAACTGCCCTCTCCCCATCCAGTCCTATAGCAGCTAAGGAGTTTAGATTCTTCTTCCTGGCTACAAGACTGACTTCTATTTAACATTCAATTCATAAGTATAAAGAATCAGTGGTGGGACATTAATAATTAAACAGGGGAGGGCAGGTAACACACTTGGGGACTCATTCTCTCTCTCACTCAAATTTGCTTGCTCACTCTCTCCCCTCCCTGTGCCACCAGCCCCCTGCCACCAAAACCTGACTATTAGTATAAGTCCCCAGTGGTGAGAAGGTACTGGGAAGACTGCCAACTGTAAGTGGGAGTGGGTGTGGGAAAAATGCAAAAGGAAGAAGGAAAGCTGAAAAAACCACACTGGCCATCTGTAGCAGATTATAAATAAATTCCCTGGCTGCAAATAAAATTTCTGCAGTCCAGGGTCCCTTAGGGGAGAACACCTCAGACTCAATGTATGAACTACAAAGTAGGACCCCAGAATGCCCAACCAAGGCACAGAAATTCTGGAGGCTGAGGCTGCAGAGGCTGGTGACTTGCTGCAAACAGAGATAACATGATTTCCAGCTGTTCTTCCAACTAAGCTGTGCAAGTTCAGCCCAGAAAACAAGCTGACATCTCAACCATTCAAACTGTAGAGGTTTCCAGAAATTTCTAAGTTTTCTTCAACCCAGAGGCACAATCATCAAAGAATACAGACCAAGAAGTGAAGGAACTTCCCACACTGAGTGAGAGGGACCTTCTTATGCACTAGCAGCACTCCTCAGATGTGGCTTTCTGCACCAGGGAAGCTGAGACCTCGTGTGATATGGCTCAGAAACACCCTTCCCACAAACTCCTTCCTCTTGTACCCTGATTCTACCTGAAACATCAGTGTCCTTCCTCCACTTAGAATTAAGATTGTCAGGGAAAGGCACTGTGCTGGCTAGCTTCATATCAACTTGACACAAACTAGAGTCATCTGAGAAGAGGGAGCCTCACTTGGAGAAAGTGTTTCCATAAAATCAGACTGTAGGTAAAACTGTAGGGCATTTTCTTAGTGATTGATGAGAAAAGACCCAACCTATCATGGGTGGTGCCTCCCCTGGGCCAGTGGGGAGCAAGTCAGTAAGCAGCACCCCTCCATGGCCTCTGCATCAGCTTCTGCCTCCAGGCTCCTGCCCTGTTTGAGTTCCTGTCCTGATTTCCTTCAATGGTGGGCTATGATGTGGAAGTGGAAATCAAATAAACCCTTTCCTCCCCAAGTTGCTTTAGTCATGGTGTTTCATCACAGGAATAGTAACCCTCACCAAGACAGGTACCATCCTAGAGAATTAAGCCAGGTGTCTTAGCTCTCTGGTGGGGACAGAAATCAGGTGAAGCCCAGCACAAGAGCTGAACTCTCTTGTGCTCTCATCACCCAACACTGCAGTGTCTACCCCTTCCCAGTGCAGCTCAGAGGGTAGGCAATAAACTGGGCGATGTGTCCCTTCCTTCCTCCTCTCAGGCATGCAGCTGTATCTGGGAAAGAGGGCTGTGAAGAGAGTTCCACCAGCCGCAGATATAAAAGGGAGAGGCTTCAGCCTGAACTCTTCATTTCCCTCACAGCCTAACTCATAGACAAGGACTTCCTGTCAGGTGCCCCGGTGCCATGGCCTCAAGGACTGCAAAGTTGTCAGGAAATTAAATATGACTTCTCAAATGAAGTTTGCAGAACCTGTTTATATATCCAGCACAACACAGGATTTGTTTTGACATTTCAACAACTTCTTGGTAATACTCTTGTTAAGTAAAGTGAGACTGCACTGTATTTTGTACTTCTGCATGCCTCCACTGTTTTGACACACATAAAGAGACTCACAGACTTTCACATGCCTTGAAGACTAAGATACACGTAGAAATATAGACATGTTCCAGATTACCCCAGCCTCTTTACTTCCAAGGGGTTTCTTTATCTTGTTTTTTTTTTCTATATTATAGCTTGTGTTACTATAATAAAACACATTACTAAGGCGACTTATAGAAGGTGACTTTTATCAGGGCTTACAGGTCCAGAGGGATGTGTCTATCATGATAGTAGAATGCAGGCATGGCAGCTGGAGTTGGAAGCCAGAACTTACATCTTGAACCACAAGCAGGAAGCAGGGAGAAAATGGGAATGGTGCCAGGCTTTTGAAACCTCAAAGCCCACTCTCAGTGACACACTTTCTCCACCAAGGCCACACCTCCTAAACTTACCCAAAAGTGCCACCAATTGAGGGCCAAATATTCAAATGTCTGATTACATGGGACTTCTCATTCAAATCATCACAAAATCCATTTTAAAATTAAACATCATAAAAGCCATTAATTAAATAATGATGGGGGTGGGTTAGTACATGATACATCTCTATGTATAAAGCATGGCATTGTAAAGGGTGGAAAGTATGCTGGGAAGAAAGCCAGGGCATCTTGTAACAAGTCCCTCTGGCTTGAGTGGGTAGAATATCTGAAAGACACTCATCCCCTGAGGGCCAGTGGCTTATGTCTACCCAGTGATGAGAGCTCTTTAAGGACTATTCCAGAAGCTCATTTCTATATTTGGAAGAATAATTAAAGGCCATTTTGCCATTTTTTCTTCTTCCTTCCTTCAGAAATCTTACTCTTCTAAAGTACATGTCAAGAAGGAGCAGCAGAGATAAGGGTCAGGGGTACATCTTACAAAGAAATAGGAAAGATTAGCTGAGCAGATGTGGGGTACACCACTAAAAACACTGAAGCAAAGACTGGAAAGGTACCAGCCTTGAAACTTAACGCTTGTCTCCTTTCATCCTCTTTGTAGTTGTCACTCTTGGTGCAAGTTGAGTGTAGCTTTGTCATGCATGTGAAGGAGATAACTAGCTTATTAATGTCTTGGAGAGCTTCACCCACACCAGGCACAGGCGTGGGAGTCACTGAACACCCAGGGTGGGGCCTGGCCAGCAGAGTGGAGTCCAATACATAGCAGTCACAAGTCAGGATGGCCATCATGGCCCTGACCCCTAATGTGCCTCTTCCTCCTTCTGTCAGAGGAAAAAGGGTGCAGAGACAGCTTTGGGAGAGACAGGCCTTCACTTGTGATGAACTTTGAACTTTGTAGCTATGAATTTGGTAGCTTTCAAAAGCCAGACAAGTTGAATGATGGCATCAGTAAGATGCCATCAATTGCAGGTGTAGAATGACTTGAACTAGCTTGTCCACTAGGAGGATTTACAAGAACTCCATCTTGGAAAGTTGAGGGTGCCCCTGGTTAAAGACAATCTGGAGGGTCTCCTCTTTTTCTCTGTGTCTTGACTCTGCTTTCACCATGCTGACTTCTTTCTTAGACTCCTCTTCTGAGAGTGATGCCAGTCCCTGGAGACTTTAGACTCATGCTTTCTTCACAGCAAATGAACCCACAGAAGGACTGTGCCTTATTTCTGAACAGTTCCAGCTCAGGGCAGATATGGACAAGCTGGCTGAACCACCTGTCCTCTCCTCAGGGGTCACTACAGATAGGGTGCATGGGTCACTTAATGGTCAAGGCTTGGGTGACCTTGGATCCAGATGTTATGGTCAGCCCATGAAAAACTGGGGAGGCATGGTATCCACAGAAATAGCAGGCAGGCAAAAGCTTGCCCACCACAATGGCTATATCTCAGGGCATGGCAATTTAGCACTGATGGTTATAGCCTTGAGTTTGGAAATTTACCAAGGCTCTTATCCCCACTACATGGACAATGTTGCTATCCTGGGCTAGGAATAAGTAATTTCAAATGAGAGCCAAAAGAGACATTCAGGGAAAGTCTTCCTGCAGATCACTTTGACTCTGAACTTGGGTGTGACATCTAAGATGCATCTGACACTGGTGTCTTGACTCTTGGGTTAACATGTGTCGGCATATTGTATGCTGGCATTCATCACGGGTATATGAGCACCACTCCAAAACAGCCCAACTTGGTTAACAAAGCTGGAAAATTTAACAAAGCAGATGAATATCTTGGAAGCATTCATACTCTTCATGGACCTGTGAAAACATTAAATAAGAATCTCCCTGGATGTTTCTTTGCAACCTGGTATCAAACGAAGGACGAAGATTTCTGTAGGCTGCAAATGATAGAGCTGATAGGATTTTATACAGAGTGCTCCACGTATCAAATTGTTTGATGCTGCTGTTGCTGCTGCCTGCTCCTTCCCCCTCCTCCCTCCAGCCTTTGCTCCTCCTTTTTTTCCTCCTTCCCTTCCCTCTCCTCTCTCTTCTCTCCCTCCTTCCTCTTCCCCTTCCCTGTCTGCCCCCTCCCCCTCTTCCTCTTCCCCCGCTTCCCCCTTTTCCTCCTCCTCCTTTAGATCAAGGCTCACTGTGCTTCCCAGGCTTGTCCTGAACTCCTGGACTCAAGCAATCTTTCTGTTTCAGCTTCCCAAGTGTCTGGGACTACAAATTCACATCACAACACCCAGCATTATTTTCTTCATGCTACATTATATCATCAGCCATGCAAGATAAAAAGTATGTCTCTTTAAAAATATAATTCAAAAGTTGCCTGCAATGTCCAGCTCAGTGCTATGAGGCCTTACCATAGTACCTTCGGGAATAGAATGTGTTTTCAAAGTCAGACTATCCCTGTCCTAGTTTCATTCTGTTGCTGTGGTAAGACCCTTTGGCCAAAAACAATTTGGGGAGGAAAACACTTATTTGACTTACACTTCCAGGGCGCAGTCCATCGCTGAGCTAAGTCAGGTCACGAATCACAAAGGAAGGCTGCTTGCTTAGCTAACTTTTTATACAGCCAGGACCATCTGCCCAGGGATGATGATACCACCTATGGTAGCAATGGAACATGCAGTCATTCTTCAGTGCCTTGGGATTAGGATTTTAATGATCACACAGGGAAAATGTACTTCCACTAAGAAACCAACAGCCATACCCACCTCCTCTACAGAGTGGTGAGGCTGTGACAAGGGTGAGGAATGCCAGTTGGAGCCTACCAACAGGAGACAGGCACCTTTCCAGCTATTTGAAGGAAGATCATTAAGGTACAAAACTGAAAAGAGGGGACTCACAGCCCATGAACGAGCCAAGTCTGTGCTGAGAGAAGGAAGATGCCTCGAGTCATCAATGCTGAAATTCAGACTTTGAAGGACTAACACTGATATTTGGTACCAGTATCTTCCAGCTTAAAGGAAGGGCTCCCTGTGCTAAAAACCAGACCCTTGAGGAGTGGGTACTATTCTACCTGTCATGTCATCTCTGTAATGATGCCAGTGAGACCAGACCTACAAGTACGGCAAGAACCCAGTCTGGATTCAGTTGGTGCAGCATCCAGGAACTGCTTCCACCACAACAAAGAAGTTATTGGGTTAATGACCACAGGAATAGGAAACAGTTTTCCAGGGTCCCGCCAGTGCCCCCTACAGGCAGAGCTTGACATAGACACTGTAGACAAAGCAGAACAGGTATTCAAGGGGCCAATCTCAGCATCCAAAACAGGAAATGAACCACTGAAAACTGGTGTTCTTTGTTATTGCAGCAAAGCCTAGCCTAATCCCAAAACCAACAGGTGACCATAGAAGTCGGGAGATTGTCACTTCCAGTGGTGTGAATTAGACCTCCTGGGGGCTGGTTTAAGTGAACAGGGGTTTGCCTTTTGCTTGCTACTGCTTCCTGATTATCAATGAACTTCCTTGTTCTGATTTTGCTATCCAATCCACCTCACTCCAGGATGGTCTTTCTTTCAGTCACTAACTGAAAAACCCTTAACTTAAAACTCACTTCTCAAGGAAACCATTGAATTAGAAGTAGAAATTTTAGAAAAAGAAACATAACTACGTATGATATATATAAACTGTCATTAGGTCAACGTATTATGACTACATATAAATATATAAACATCTCTTCTCTATACTTGTTATACAAGAAAATATGTGGGGTACCTGTGTGCAGGGATGTGTGTGTGTGTGTGTGTGTGTGTTCTACAGTTATATGCCTTGCATGTCAACCATTCAAGAGACTGCCAACACAGAATATCTCTTCATTTTTTCCCTCAAACAGCTAAGCAAGAACACTGCATATGAAGGTCACAGTGGAAAGGGAAGAGAAGGGAAGTAAGTAGAAGTGGAGAGAGGACTGCTACCCCAATGGCAGCCACTGGACTCCATGTAACTATTGTGGTGGGAGTGTAGGCTTAGCATTCATAGGATTAATGGGGGCTACTGAAGGTGTGCTAGCTTGGATCACAGTTGCATGTTGACTACCAAGTCTGACTATGGCACCTATGCTAATCAGTGCATTTCAAGAGCTGATCCATCCCTGTCTGAGAAGCTATATTTGTGTTGGACCACCCAAACACACAAAATGAGTTAGTCATGGGGAGTTCTCTCTACACGGTCTCATGGGGGTACCCAAAGAACATAGCTGGGGAAGGCTGGCAAGTGTGCCTCAGTGTTACCCTCATGGCACTAGAGTTCTGTGGAATTCTTCAGAGGAATTAGTTCAGGGCATGGTAGTAAACTCAGGTGATGACACTTGGGGGACTGTGGTAGGAAATACACACCTGGATGATCTAAGTGTAAGACACAGCACACGTGAGCAGTCCATCCACTCACCTCACCTTACAACAGAACACACATTTGCAACATACAATATGGTCAATATCAACATCCAGAGCAGATCCCTCGGACAGCTCCTTAAAGCTTATAAGATTCTCAAAATGATTTCAGGACAATATAAACATAGTAGAGGTATGTAGCTCCTACTTACACATCTTCTCATACTGCCTTAATTTATGAAGACCACAGCTGGACCTCTGTCCTAGCTATTTCTAGATGTCTCTTGAGCATATTGAATTACATTGAAATTATATTTTAAAGAAATTGAACAATCTCTTATATAAAAAAGCATTTTGCCATTCACATAGGTTGGAGACATCCAAATATCAAAATTTAGTACATATTATACTATAACTCAGTAGGAGGAGAATGTCTGGAAACAGAAAGCCTTGGATGATTCTTGCCTCATCCTTAGTGCCCTTTCATGCTAAGCTAGCATATTTTAACCAGACGCAGCAGAGCTCAACACCAAATATTAACTTCTAATTTAAAAGGTTTATATGGTCAGGAATTCATCATTAAGCACATCCAAGTAATGTCAAAGGAGTGGATGTCCACACACCCACTCATTAAATACATCTCTACATATAAAGAGGTGAATAGTGAAAAGTAAAGAGTATGTGATATAAATAATAATATAAACAAAAATTCAAGCAAAGGGAGCTAGCTATCCAAAGGGGGTATAAGAGATAACAGATATTCAGAGTCTAGTCTCACACTGCCATTACTGAACAAACAAGCTTTGTGTGAATGAGAAGTTAATATCTGGTGTTGAGCTCTGCTGTATACAATTAAAATATGTTAGCTTTGACATGAAAGGGCACTAAGGACGAGGCAGTAATTGGTTCAAGGCTTTCTGTTTGAAAATTTTGTTCCCAGACATTTTCTTTCAAAGTGAACATAAATAATAATATATAAATAATACTGTATAAATATAAATATTAAAAAGTTATAGTAGTAAATTTTGACACTTTGATGTTTCAAACATATTTGAACGGCAGCATAGTTTTATTTGTATAAGAGATGTTCAATTTCTTTGAAAATATAAGTTCAATGTAATTCCATATGCTCAAGGGACATTTATAAATATCTAGAAGAGTATTGACCTGGACTTTAGACGACAGAGGTTCAATTGTGGTCTTCATATGTTAAGGCAGTATGAGAAAGCAATGGCAACATGTGTAAGCAGGAGCCACATTTTCTCCACCATGTTTATATTATTCTGAAATTATTTTCGGTACATAAATTGGGATTTGGATTTGAGGAAGATAGTCTTATATGATTTAAAGAGATATAGGAGGGGAGAGATCTGCCCTGAATGTTGACCTTGACCATTTCTTATGTTGTAAATGTGTGCTCTCTTTCAAGGTGAGCTGAGTGGGTAGGCTGCTCATACATGCTATCTCTAAAACTATAATTTTCTGAGCTAACATAAATGCCAATTTTGGGGGTTCTTTCTAAAAACATTCCCATGGAAGCTTCATGTTGTGTATACCCTCTGAGAGCAAGTTTTTTGGTGCCTGAAGGGCAGAGGCAATCTACAGAAACCATAAAGGACAAGGCAAAAGTCATTGCCAATCCAGACCAGCGTGCCTAAAGTCAACGGACTCCCCAGACTCCTCCCCTCAGCCTCATGACAAGGCTGAGAAACACCATGCCCTGGGAGTGGTCACAATGTTAGTGTTCTTTAAGGAATAGCAGATACACTGAGAGAGGATGGTAGGGAAGACTTAACAAAAGGGAGGGAGGAATATAATCCTTGCATCAGTGGGGGAGCATTCAAGAGCTGTGTGTGGTCTGTGCCATGTTTTCCCAATTTGTCCATGTTGTTCAAATGTATCAGTAGAATTAACTCAATGTGTGTTCTGGAAACTCCAGGCCTTTCTCCAACACTCCCTTGTCATCACCTCAAACACACTCACATTCTAAACAATGTCATACTCCAGAGGGGAAATGGCAGAGAGAAAGAAATGAGACAACCCCAGCCTCGAGAACCTAGCCACTTCTAAACTTCCAGCTGGGGTTCTTGCAAAGCTACCACCTCCCTTTGGGCTGACCTCATTCCAGCCAGGAACTCAGCCTGCATGGCTGGAAGGCAACATTCTTTAAATGGCATGTTACAGGACCCATTAGAGTCCACATTAGTGTCTACATTCTTTTACCTTGCACTCATTCTTCAATCTATTCCACTCTGACCTTGTTACTTCAACATTGAGACTCCTAAAATATATATATATATATATATATATATATATATATATATATATATTTCTGCTGAGGTCACTAAATGACCAACAACCAATGAGCTGCTGAGATAACCATGAAACCAGTTCAAAGGACAAAGGCATGAATATATTCATTGCCAATCCATGAATATATTCATTGTTTGTCTTGATGCTGTGGCAAAATGACTGATAAAAGCAACACCAGGAGGGAAGGGTTTATTTGAGCTCATGATTCAAGGGTATGGTCAATTTTTTTATTAGCAAAGAAGTAATTTTCTATTGCTGTGATAAAACATGATGACTAAGCAACTTATAAAAAGAAGACTTTCTTTGAAGGCTATGGTTCCAGAGGGACAAGAGTTCATCATAGTGGAAAAGCAGAGCCACAAGTGGCAGGCATGGTGGCAGGAACAGGAAGCTGAGGGTTCACATCTTTAAATGTAAGCACCAAGCAGAAAAAAACAAACTGGAAGCGGCTTGAGGCTTTCTAATTTCAGAGCCCACCTGCACTTCCCACAGCAAGGCCAGACCACTTAAACCTCTCTAAGCAGCACCACCAAGTGGGGACTGAGTACTCAAACAGCCGAGCCTTTGGGGGACAATCTCATTCAAGCCAATGTAGTGTGACAGTGGGATGGGAGGCAGCTACTCACACTTCTCTTGCAAGAAGAAAGAAAGCTGAGAAAGCTGAGAGCTGGTATCAGCCTGCTTTCTCCTTTTTATGGAATCCAGCACCCCAGCCCATGTGATGGTGTTGCTCATGTTCAGGATAGGATTTTACCTCCTCACTTAAACTCCTCTTGAAATGGCCTCACAGACACACCAGAGGTGTGTCTCTTAGGTGACTCCCAATTCCATTAAGCTAGCAAGATGAGCCACTACACCAGTAACCTTGACTTACTGTATTTCTAGGCAGCTCTTGACCCTGATGGTCACTGCCCTCTTGAGACCAGCCCCATCACCCATCTCAGTCATATCACTCCCTTCAC